GAAGGTCCCCGCGGGCCTTCCGGGAGGTGGCCCGCCGGCAGGGTCGCCGGACCACTCGATATCGGCGGCTCTGAGTTGTCTGAACGAGATGCAGGATATTCCGCAGTCGAGCGAGATGTATCTGGACGCGTTTGAGATTCTGCAAGACGCGGGGGAAAGGGAGTGCTTCATATGCCTGCCGCCGGAGCCGAGACGGAGGTGGCTGCAGAGGATGCTGCACCGGCGACACCCCTTGCGCTATAGCTCCAACATGTCATGATGAGTCCACATTTTTTTAGTTTTTTTTTTTTGGTGACATTTCGGTTACTGTTTGTTGGTAAGAGGATATTGTGGTTTATACATACATGGTTTGCTTGGAGTTTCTTGTGATGAATATATATATAATATACCTCTTCTAGCTTGTGGAGAGAAAAAAGAGTGATGGTTAATGGTACTGATCTTATGATATTCTTGAGTCTTGACCATCAATTCTTTTGCCTTTTAAAAGATGTAAGATGTAAGAGTCACTTTTTATTGGTGAACGATATAATTAATAATAATATAAGGATTAAAATTAAACTTATTAAAAGTATGGAAGGTCAAAAAAATGAGTTAACAGTTGAAAGCCTGATTTTGGTATTAGAAAACAAATTCACACTTAAATTTGGAATTATAATATGATATCACATATAATTATTTTATCATAGTTTCTACATAGATTCGAATGTTCATTTTTTATCTTAGTTTCTAGTTTCTACATAGATTCAAATATTCGTAATTGCATGCCGCTCTCGGCGACCATGGGCATGAGGTAATAATCACCAATTGATATATTTGGTATAGTAGAAGATTAGTATAATGTAAGAAAAAATTGGTTTTGTACCAACTTAATGGCTCCACTTTTAGTTAGTGGAAGACTTAGAAAATTCTCAAAATTATTTTAAAGTAAATGAGAAATTAGTTCTAAGTGTTATATATCAAACAATTGAATTAAGTAATTCAAATATTGTAAGGTTCACAAAACATTAAAGTTTGATTAATATTTGGACAAACTAAACGAGTCATAATCTTGCATTAAGTATGCTAGAATTGTGGAAGGGCTCGTTGGGGACAAGTAAGAAAAAATGAAACTAAATTCCGAGTCCGAACGAACGCGTACGAGCTTTAGGAGTGCAGCTGCGCGCCAGGCCCCGTCGCGGGCGTGACACTCCGTGCACAAGACCCGTCGCGGGCGCGCGATCAGGCTCGGGCGCGAAAGTCTGCTTGGTCGGAGCTTTTGTCCAACGCGACAGGGCGTCGCGGGCGCGACGAGCTCGCGACACTGATGCACCTGTTCGTATTGGAATGATTTCTAACCGGTTTTAATCCACCGGGTACGTCACAAAAGGTGTCTTTTGATGCCTTGAGCCCCCTGGAGATGTGTTATAACATCTATAAATACCCATGAAGTGAAATGATCATTATATCAAATATTTTCATAACCTTTGCATCCTTTTACAAAGTTCATATTCATATTGTGTTATTTATTTTTCCTTTTCTATCTTGAGAGTTCAAAACATAAGTATTGTTCGCCGAAAGTTTGTTTATTTGAATTACCGCTATACACAAATCGAAAGTCGTTGTATCTTGGAGGCGTTAGCCGTGAACCGTGGGTAATATACGGGGCTATTTCGTCTTAAGGAGAGCGTATGTTACGTGCCTCGACTTTATTCGTTTAACCAAATTCTTTCTATTTCTTAAAGCCATTTTTCTTGAAATTTACATACCAAAAATTATAAACTACAATCTTAAGACGAAATATTGTGAGTTCATAAGATGGCAACCGAAGAAAACCAAACAAATGCTCAACCTACCGCTATACCGATGGTAGCTGCTCCTGTCCAAGGCGAGAGACCGCCGAAGTTCAATGGCTCTGATTTCAAGAGGTGGCAACAAAAAATGCTTTTCTACCTCACAACTCTCTCCCTCTCTCGTTTTCTTTTGGAGGACCCTTTGATCGTCCCCGAAAGTGAGACCGACATGCAAAGGCGTACGGCCTCGGATGCTTGGCATCACAATGATTTCTTCTTTGCATGCGGCCTCGGATGCTTGGCATCACAATGATTTCTTGTGAAGAAATTATATCCTTAACGGACTAGACGATTCTCTCTACAATGTCTATAGTCCGATTAAGACGGCAAAGGAGTTATGGAATTCCTTGGAGATGAAGTACAAGATGGAAGATGCCGGGATTAAGAAATTTCTCGTCGGCAAATTCCTAAAGTACTTAATGGTGGACACTAAGTCGATGGTTAGCCAAGTTCAAGAGATTCAAATCATCTTTCACGATTTGTTGGCCGAAGGATTGATTGTGAATGAGGCCTTCCAAGTTGCTGCTATTGTTGAAAAGTTACCACCACTTTGGAAGGACTTAAAAAAACTATCTCATGCATAAACGCAAAGAGATGACATTAGAGGACTTGATTGTTCGACTTCGAATTGAGGAAGACAATCGAAAATCTGAAGTAAGGGCCAACCGGAGCGACTTCGAGGCTAGGACAAACTTGGCCGAGTCAAGCTCTAATAAGAAGCGCAAGAGAACTTCAAAGGGAAAGCAACCTCAAATGAGCACCAAGAAGTTCAAAGGAAATTGCTACAATTGTGGTAAATATGGGCATCTTGCGAAAGATTGTCGTCTCCCGAAGAAGGGTAAAGATAGCGCACATATGGCCGAGGATAAATCTATTCCCATTGACTTATCTGAGCTCGATCTAACAGCCGTGGTCCAATTATTGAGTCTCAAAATGCGGTGTTCTTTGAGAATATTTTTCCTCGTAAAGACAAGGAAGAAATAATTTTGAGAAAAAAGACATTTGAAGAGGCCAAGATACCTCAAGAAATTGAGGATGAGCCAAGGCGTAGTAAGAGAACAAAAGTACCTAAGTCTTTTGGTCCTGAATTTCTAACCTATGTGTTAGAAAACGAACCGAGAACCATTCGAGAGGCTTTGACAAGTTCGGATGCTTCTTTTTGGAAAGAAGCTATCAATAGTGAGATTGAATCCATTATGCACAATAATACTTGGGAGTTGGTTGATCTCCCACCGGGTAGAAAACCTTTGAGATGTAAATGGATCCTTAAAAGGAAGTATAAAGCTGATGGAACTATTGATAAATATAAGGCCCGATTGGTTGTAAAAGGGTTTAAGCAAACGAAGGGATATGATTTCTTTGATACGTATTCTCTTGTAACTCGAATCACGTCTATACGTGTTCTCATTGCAATTGCTGCTATGCATGACCTTGAGATTCATCAAATGGATGTGAAAACAGCCTTCTTAAATGGAGACCTCGAGGAGGAAATTTATATGGAACAACCCGAGGGGTTCGTTGCACCTGGAAAAGAGAAAAAAGTGTGTAGCTTGGTTAAGTCGCTTTATGGGATAAAACAAACACCTAAGCAATGGCACGAAAAGTTTGAAAAAGTGATGTTGTCGAATGAATTTAAAATCAACGAGTGTGACAAATGTGTGTATGTTAAAGGTAACGTCGATTCATTCGTGATCGTATGCCTATATGTTGATGACATGTTAATCTTGGGAAAAAATAATGGTTTAATTCTTAGTACCAAGAAAAATGTTGAAAGATAATTTCGACATAAGGGATATGAGAAAAGCCGATGTAATCTTAGGGATTAAAATCTCTAAAAGTTCGGAAGAAATTGTTTTGTCACAATCTCATTATGTCGAAAACATCTTGAAGAGGTTCAATGCATTCGATAAGCCTCC